TCTTCGATAATAACGACAACGCATGACATTACGCACATAATTGTTTTGGTTTTCACTCACAGCATCCGGGCGGTTTCTCCCCGGGCGTGCAAGCCAGGCCGAATCAGCCAGACGATCGCACGAGCACCATGTTGGCGAAATGCATCCTACGAAAAAAAACAATAAGGTGATTGATCCTCAATCGTCGGTCCTCCTTCTAATCACCTTGCCCTTTCCACCGTTCACCTCGTTCCACCACGCTGCGCACCATGGTCCTCATGACCTATTGCAGCACGAAAAAACACAGCTACAGTCGAACCGGCTGGCAACGCATGCCGCGCCGTGCAAACGGATCCCAGGCCCCCTCAGGATCGGGATCAGCACCGAGACCATCCTCGCCACCAGGCTGATGATCATCATGCTCAGGCTCGCGATCATCCTCGCCAGTGCCAGGCTCAGCCGGGGGAGCCGCCGCGGCCCTGCGCCGGGGGCGGCGCCGGGGTTCGGCGGTGGCACTGGAGGCGGCGCCTCGGTGAGCCCTGCCGCCTTCGCGTACTGGGCGTTGTAGAGCTTGGAGCCCGTCTGGCACATCTCGGTCTTCATCTGCTCGACGAGTCTCGCGTATATCATAGTCTTGTGCTGCTCGGTGAACGCGATGTCGACGTACCCCGCGCGGTTGAGCACAACCTGCCAAGCGAATTTGGCGTCCAGCGGCGTCAAGTCCACGATGGCCTTCAAGAAAAACATGTGGATGAGCTCGTCGTACCACGCGGGGGGCATTCCGCGGTGCGTGACTGGCACTTGCGCGGAGTCCGTCTTGCGCTCAACCACGTCGCCTGGAATCGCACCTTTCGTCTTGCCGCCGACGGCGATGAGGTTCTTCTTGCCGTAGAGCGCCTTTTCGTCCGACCAACTCATGGTCCACTCCATGTCGGCCTCGGTCGCAGCCGCGCCCGCGATGGCGTCGCCCGACGTGCTTCCAGGATCGCGTTTCCGCGACCTCTCTGGCAGGGGGACTTTCGCATGCGAGAGCATGTGAGCCGACTCGGACTGGCGAAGGCCACCTGTGCAGCTGCGCAGCTTCTTGCGGCGGTTGGCGATGCTGGGCTCGGAGTAGATGATGTTGATGACAGAGGAGGTGAAGGTCAGCACCTCAGTTCCTTCCTCGTCGTCGGGGTCATCCTCCTTATCCTCTTCGCCCTCATCATCGCCCTGCTTCTTCTTGTCTTTAGAGGTCCCCTCGCGCCACGGGGCAATTAGTTTATTGGCGCTGCCACTCCTGCCGCCGTCTAGCAGGATAGCCACTTCGCCAGATCGTAGACCAGGGGTAGCGCCAGCCGGGGCACGCGCGCTCAGCACGGCCCTGACCAACCTGTGGTAGTTCGCGTCGCGCAGGGGGGCGACCCGCAGCTCCGGGCGAGTTAAGGGCTCGCCGCTCCGTTTGACGTCGAAGTCAAACAGCGCGAGACCAGTCGGATCGCCCCTGATGCCCGCCAGAGTGGAATCGCGAATTGCGTTTTCCAGCTCAGCGGCCGTTTTCTTCTCGACGATGATGTCCACGTGCGTGTGGGCATGCTTCTTGATGACCTTCCCCCAATGCTCCTGGTCCTGCTGCTCCATGCTGTGAAAGCCCTTCGACTCTGGAGTCTCGGTTGTCGTACCAGGTGTCGGGGCTGGCCTAGCTGGGCCCACTGCAGGGGCCTCTCCTCTCGCCGCCGCTGCAGCGGATCGCTCTTCGGCCAGAGTCGCGGCGATCTCGTCGATCTCGCGCTTGACGCTCTCGCACTCCAAGATGGTAGCAACCTGCGCCTTCGACTTTACAGCGTCCCTGTAGCGGCCGTCATTGCAGCAAGTGTAGATGCACTCTTCCAGAAAAGGTGCACGCCGCCACCGAAGATGGAGGCCATCCGACCATCCACTGATCACTGCGGCAGGCGGGCGCGCGGGCATGGCCGAAGCAGCCAATGGAATCGCCCCCCCCCCCCTCCCCCCCCACACGTGCGATGCGGTGCTAACATATTTGCGTCGATCTTCGGGTCGAAATCCAAACGAAAATGGATTCTCGCCAACTTCACCCATTGCCCCCTGTTGTACACAATACGATCCCACCGTACAAACCTAAGGCGTTCGGGGGGGTGTTAGGCCCCCCTGGGGGATCCCATGATCATATGTGTAACGGGCCCATGATGGCACCCGTGGGGGAGGAGGTTCCTCCTCCATGGCGACTTGAACCTGAATGCTATGATATTTTGTGAGATGCTCTGCCATGCTACTGCTTATTACGCGCGCGCGTGCTCGGGCGCGCGCTTGGGGGGTAATACAATCGACCGGGGCCTCGAAAAGGACCCCATCGGGCGACGCGCATGAATTGCAGGCTTGCGGTATCGTTGCGACGTCGCACTTGGCAGCGTAGCGCACTCGACGCTGGACTGTCTTCTCCTTGCCCCAAGAACCTCAACGCTGCATTATCGCCATCGTCGCCACGTTGATGAATGATGTTTGTTGATTGGGAAGGGAACGTGATGAGGAGAGCTCGGTGCCTCTTGGTGGCCACTGAAGTTTGAAGGGGGGTCCCGATCACTTAACTTACCTGTACCTACTATCCAACTATAAACAACCACATTTGTTTTTATTGGCGTCTACGAGAAAGGGGAGGAGGCAGACAAAAAGGAGGATTTGGAGACTCTCGTGGGCCTTCGGGGTACAACTTAACTTCCAGGGGATGTCCCGAGCAACCCGGCCAACTACGCCAACAAGCAAACTATAAAATCCAACACGATGCAACTGTACGCGACGCCGTGGGGCATTTGGTCGGCGGCCGCGCGCGCCGTCGAAACATCGACGAACCCGTGGTGGAAAATGAGCTGTCACATGCAATGACATGTTATTGTATATGTTGGTATGGTATGCTGATCTATGATATGCCATGCTATGGAATGCTAGCACATGATGTTGCTACTGCGCATGTATGTGCTCGGGCGCGCGTCTCGGGGGCAATTTAATCGCCCGGGACCTCGAAGGAATAAACTTGGGAGACGGCGGCGCCAGAGCTAGAAAAATTAAGCCAACCACATCGAAATACCAAAACTTAAAAAAATACTGACTATATGGGGTAAGAGGAGGTCAAGCGGAGTGGGTAGTCACGCACATCCCTGCGGGACCTCGCGGCTCCCTGGGGGGCTGCGAACTGCGCCATTGTCGCCCCGTTCGTAGACTCCTGGGAGGTCCAGCAGGGTGGGTTGTCACGCAGTCACTGCGGGACCTCGCGGCTCCCTCGGGGTCTGCGAAATGCGAGATGATCGCCACTTTCTTGGGCTCCTGGGAAGTTTAGCGAAGTGTGTGGTCATTCGGATCCCTGCAGGACGTCGCGGCTGGCTGGGGTCTGCGAACTGCGAGATGATCGCCACCTCCGCGGGCTCTTGGGAGATCCAACAAAGTGTGTTGTCACGTGGATCCCTGCGGGACCTCGCGGCTTCTCGGGGGGCTGCGAACTGCGCAATTGTCGTCGCCTCCATGGGCTCCTGGGGGGTCCCGCGACGTGGGTAGTCACGCAGATCCCCTCCTCAGCTGCCTGCCGCCCACAGCAGCAGTAGCAGCAACAGCAGCAGCAGCAACAGCTCTGCCCCCCCGTTCTATGTTCCTTGTCGTGCTTGTCGTCGCCGTCCCTTTTGCGTCTGAGTTGCGCAGGTGTGCGACGCGTGTTGCCCATGCTTGGCGAAGAAATTCAGCGTCCTGAATATCTCGCAATGCGTTTTTTTACCTAACAGCGTTTGCTGATAGGTTTCTAGTAGGGTCAAAAGAGAACATCATGACTCCTCAAGGGGGTCTGGGCGGGTGCCGGGGAGGAGAACCGGGAATCGTTTTTCGCCAACAGTCACACACTTCGTGCTCTTCGACCTCCCAAAACTCCATTCCCGGGACACATTCTGGAGAACCGGGAACAAAGCCGGGTTCGCTTTTTGCCAACAGTCACACACTTCGTGCTCTTCGACCTCCCAGAACTCCATTCCCGGGCCACATTCTGGAGAACCGGGAACAGAGCCGGGCTCGTTTTTCGTCAACAGTCACACACTTCGTGCTCTTCGACCTCCCAGAACTCCATTCCCGGGCTACATTTTGAGTGCCCGGAGCCAACTGTAGGCCACTTCGTGCTCTTCGAGTTCCCAGAACTCCATTCCCGGGCCACATTTTGGAATGCCCGGAGCCAACTGTAGGCCACTTCGTGCTCTTCGATTTCCCAGAACTCCATTCCCGGGCAACATTTTGGATGCCCGGAGCCAACTGTAGGCCACTTCGTGCTCTTCAAGTTCCCAGAACTTCATTCCTGGGCATGATTTTGAATGCCCGGAGCCAACTGTAGGCCATTCGTGTTCTTCTAGTTCCCAGAACTCCATTCCTGGGTCACATTTTGAATGCTGAGGCAGGCTGATGCTGCGGCCGAGGCAGGCTGAGGCTGAGGCAGGCTGAGGCTGAGGCCGAGGCTGAAGGCAGACTGAGGCTGAGGCTGAAGCAGACTGAGGCTGAGGCTGAGGCAGGCTGAGGCTGAGGCTGAAGCAGGCTGATGCTGAGGCAGGCTGAGGCTGAGGCTGAGGCTGATGCAGGCTGAGGCTGAGGCAGGCTGAGGCTGAGGCCGAGGCTGAAGGCAGACTGAGGCTGAGGCTGAAGCAGGCTGAGGCTGAGGCTGAGGCTGAGGCAGGCAGGCTGAGGCTGAGGCTGAGGCAGGCTGAGGCTGAGGCTGTGACTGCGACTGCCGTTGCCGCTGCGACTGTCATCGCGAATGCGACTACGACTGCGAGAACAGCAGAATTCTACAACTGGATTTTCATCTGAATCTTAAGGGGAATGCTTTCAGATATGCTTCTACATATCGCTGTTAGGTTGCTTTGCCGGGATAATCTTTGTACGGAGCGCTCATATCATTAGTCGCCTCGAATGGAGAAGGGATTGGGCACGTCTCGGGTAATGTCAATACGCGGTCCCCAAACCTCCCATGCTTTCTGGTGCTTAAGCGACGGCGGGGCCTTGTAGTACGCCTCCTGGCCGGTCTTCGCCTTCTTGGCCTCCGCCATCTCGGCGCCGCGCCCGGGGGGGGCATGGCTGATGGCGGCGGCGGGGTGGAGCCAGAGGCGGCCAGGCCACCGCTGCCGCCGTCGTCACCGAGGGAGGGGGGGAGGAGGGGGAGGAACAATGAAAAGGGGAGGATTCAGGGGGGGAGGAAGAGGGAGGAGGAGGAGGAGGGAGGAGGAGGGGGAGGAGGAGGAGGAGGAGGAGGAGGAGGAGGAGGAGGAGGAGGAGGAGGAGGAGGAGGAGAGAGGAGGAGGAGGAGGAGGGAGGAGGCGCACTGAGGGAGGGGCGCGGGAGCTCCAGGGAAAAGTAGGAGAGAAGGAACGCGGGCGGGGACGTTCATCTGATGACGTGCTCTCGGAGAGACTTCTTGCCCCCCCCGCCTGGGCTGAAGGGGGACGGGGGGGGGGAGGAGTAGGCGGAGGAGGAGGAGGAGGAGTAGCAGGAAGAGGGCAAGGTGGACACGACACGCGCGAAGACGGTGATGGGGCAGGGAGGCCGAGGGGGAGGGCGTGATCGGGAGGGATCGGAAGAGGAGAGGAGGCCGCTCTCGGAGAGACTCAGCGGAGAGGAGGGGCCCTGGACGGAGTGCGGACAGCCCTGGAACTACCAGGGAGGCACACGAGCACTGTTGCCCTGCGCCCACGATCGCCCCAGCCAAGATCGATACGTTGTACAGATGGCGACCTCGCTAATCCTCTCCCACGGAACTCCGCTCAGGACCGTTCTGTGGACCCCTGGCCAGAAACTAGTGGGACAAGAACGGGGAGCGCCAATTTTTGTCCACTGGGCTTGTCGGGGGAGAGGAGGAGGAGAGGATGATGGCGACGACAAGGCGCCGGACGGCGAGGATAACAGCGTGGATGACGGGTAGGGGAGCGAGGAAAGCAGAAGGACAACGAGTAGGAAGATAAGCGCGAGGACGGGGAGGAAGAGATGGAAGAGGACACGTACGAGGAGGAACGAAGCGGAGGATGATGATGCTGATGCTGATGCTGATGCTGATGATGATGATGATGAGGAGGAGGAGGAGGAGGAGGAGGAGGAGGAGGAAGGGGAGGAGAACGAGGAGGAGGAGGAGAAGAACGACGACGACGACGACGACGACGACGACGACGACGGCAACGACGACGACGACGACGACGACGACGGAGGCGGGAAGGAGCCCGAGGAAAAGGACGTCGAAGAAGAGGGAATCCTCCTGATCTTTGAGGCTACCCTGGGGGCTGTTGGCTTGGGGCATCCTGGGAGCCTCTTGGGGCCCTGTCGGGGTCATCTCGGGGGCTACTGGGGTCTTTTTGGGCTATCCGGGCGTGTCTTAGGGTTATGCGGGGACTCTCTCCGAACCATTTTGGCGCCATCTTGGGTCTGAAGTGATCTTTGGTGCGCGGCTTCTGGGGGGGAGGGTCGCGACGAAGCCTAACCCAGGCGCGCAGGACGCTTCTGTCGCCTGGCGTTCGCCGACATCGGGGGACCCCAGTGGGCCCGCACCATGGGTCACTCCGGCGAAGGGTCGCCCTTTCGCGTGGTGGAAAAACCTGGGCCCCCGACATCACATTTCCTCATGACTTGAAAACGTGGACTATCTCGACCTATTTTTCATCCCGAACCGTTGTTGTGGAAAGTCCCGGGGCCTGGCGAGTATCGGCGGTGCGCCTGGGGGGGGGAAAGTGAGAAGGACCAGGCCTTCCAGGGCCTCTCAGAAACCCCGCGCCTTCTGAGAGGTTTGTGTGTCCGTGTCTTCGGGGAGGGCTTGGACAACTTCCCCCAAGACCAGAGGCCTTCCGAGCCGTTCGAGAAGGCCCGCCCCCTCTCATTTATTGAACAGGGGCCGACCGTTCTCGCAATCCTATAGGCCTACCACGACATGTTCTTAGAATCGTACAATGTTCCAAAACATAAAAAAAGCGCTCTTGGAAAATAATGCCGGTGTGTAAAACAAGACGGTCAACGCCAGGAAGAGCCTATGAACATGTCGTGCAAAACCACACAAGAAATCATTGGAACAATCTGCGGCGGGCGTCTAGGCGGGCCAGGACGATTCGCCACTGCTCGATTCTGAGCCTTCCGAGAAAGCCCGTCCCCTCCCAGTTCCTTCGGTGGCAACTCCTGACAGCCTCCCATACAATATTGTCCGCTCTTGCGAATCGACGCCAATCGACGCCAAATCGACGCTAAAGCGACGCCGATCGGCACTAGCCGACGCCGAATCGGCGCTACCTCGTCGACTCCCAGACGCCAATCGACGCCAGTCGACGCTAAATACGGAAAGAAAAAGGCACGCAAGGCTCCCACGTGCGATGGGCCAACTTTCCACCACCACTACCACAGGCAGGACGAGGGAGAAGGTAGGATGGGGAGGTCCTCCTCTAGTTCCTCCAGCTCCTAAACAGCGTGGTCGTCTCGGCTAACCTTGCGGATGCCTCGACAATGAACACTCTAACAATCCTATCATTGAATTGAACATGTGTTTCAAATGTGTAAGACATGCTCTAAAGATGCTTCAAACATGCTCTTGCATGTCTAAAACATGTTCGACACATGCTTTAGACATCCGGAAGTTACTTGGCAGCCTGCTTCCTCTCCATTGATCGTCCTCCACAAGGCTAACCACACCCACCTACTGAAAGCAGGTTCCGCCCCGAGGTCGAGCCCCGCCGCCGAGCGCCGCCGAGCCAGGGCGTTCCCGAGCGCTTCGCCGGCCGGCTGCGCCTCGCCACGCCCGGCCCGAGCCCGGCCGCCAGCAGCAGGCGCAACGCGGCGCGCCCGAGCCGCTGCCGGCGCGCCAGGCGCGCGGGGTAGTCCTGCGGGTGGCGGGTCCCCCGCGCTGATTAGCAACGCGAGGCCCCCTAACCCTTTGGGAGAGGACCTGAGTCAGGAGGGCCAAGAACATGAAGGATATTTTTTTTGGACTCAACGCCCTCGCTGCCTGAAATGCACGAGCTGTGTGGCAGGCGGCACAGCGCGCCCCAGCAGGGCGACCTGCTGGACCTCTCTCTGCCCTATTAGGCAGAGAATGAACAAGGCACCTGCAGGCACCCCTGCAGATGTAAAAACAGCGCAGACCGACCCGCTCAACACTGTGCAATTGAGCGGGCGGAAAGAGCAGCCAGTGGGCTGCCGCCGCAGAGAGGTCCTTGGGCCAGGAGCGCGAACCTCCTCGGCCGCAGCAGCACCGCGACGCGAGCCACGGTCAGGGCGGACCACCGACCACCCCCGTGCTCAGAGAACAAGAAACACCCCACTCACGAGTGTGCCGCGCGCCTTCCCCCTGAGGCGGGGCGCCCGACACGCGTGCTGAGCGTGCGCGGGGGCGCGCGCACAACGAACGCACTCGACGATCAACAGACCAGTCAGCTCGAGAGGCGGAGATGCCACCGAGCGAGAAACCTGAAACGACCGCCCGCACAAGGACGACGAGACCTGCCATCCCAGGTGCAGAGAGCGCCAGGACGACAGCAGGCCTCGCCCCAGATGTGGGGCATGCGCACAGTTGCCTCCATCCCGGAAGACAAACGCACCTGGCCTGGAGCCAAGGAACGAAACTCTCGCAAAAGAAAACCTAAAAGCGACCGCCCACACAAGGACGACGAGGCCTGCCGCCCCAGGTGCAGAGAGCGCCAGGACGACGGCTGGCCTCGCCTCAGATGTGGGGCATGCGCACGGGTGCCTGCCAAAAGGGCCAGTCGCATCAGGCGGTGCGTCAGAAGAGCACACAATGCACATGAGCAGGCGCATGCCTGCCGAAAGGGAACCAGAGCAAACGCGGGCGGCAAGTCAATCCGAACTGTCGGACTCCTCCTGACGGTGCGTTGCGGCAGCAGAGGCTGCCGCGGCACTGGGGGATGAGCTGGGCTTGTCCAAGCCGCCTTCCGAAACTGCAACACTGGGGTAAGCTGGCTCAGAGGGGAACGTGAGCTCCTGTCCCCGCTGAGAGCTGGGGCCACCACCAGCAGAGCTGGTGGGATTTGAGCTCTTATCATCATCGCCAGAAAAAAAAAGATTCGACGCCAAGAAAGTAGTAAAGCAACGCGCCAAAGAGGTATCATCCACTGCGACACCTTTGCTCGAACGAGAAAAAAGAAGATGAAAACCCTTGCGCAAAGCAGCCCAACCTTGGCGCCCAGCACGCGTGGGCTTCCTACACTCTTCACCTAGGCCACGGACCTTGCCACCAGAGGAGTAGCACTTACATTTCAGGCACATGAAGAGAATTGACTTGTGAGAGCAGTCGAACGCAACCGTTCTGCGTCCTAGGGCATCCTGGCGCGCAGCGTGCAACTTGGAACCCTGGGGGCATCTACCTGGGGGAGGGCGAGACGAACCCCTACTCCCTCGGAGGCAAACGGCGCACCGCCACACACCAGCCCAGTATTCCCAGCGATGACCTACTTTGCAGGGCCTATCAGGGCGCTCGGCAAGGGGAGAGGGGACCAGGGGGACATCAAGGGAGAGCTTGGGCCACAGAGGGAGCAAACTGGCCGCAAGGATGCAATAGCCCCTGGCGGCTTCAATAAGCTCGCCCACTTTGGCTAATTCGGACGGGTCGGAAGGGTGAAGCTGCAGGGCATGCTTAGCACTCGCGTCCGCATCAGCATTTCCTCTCCTAAGAAATCGTTCTCTATCTGTGATGGCATCTTCGTTGACATCCAGATGAGCTTTTTACTTTAACAATGTCCTCTACAAGCCGGCCCTCGAAATTATTGGCCTGCATTATCATGCCTGAATAAGACCGCTTCCCAGAGTGCCGCTCTGGCAATGGCAATTTGCTGTGAGCAACTACATTAGCACAGTCCGTGTAAATGGTGGTCGGCATCACAAGGAACTGGGCAGCGACGCAACAAGCAACGTACTCTGAGGCCTGCGGCGTTTGCGGACGGTGAGCCCATACTGGGCCTCTAGCCTCTCCAAGGCAAGCACCATCCCCCGCATGCGCGCAGACAGCATAAGCAGACAGCATAAGCAGCTCTAGAAAGTAATTTGATCGGGTGGCGCTGGCAGGACCCGTCGATGAAGACGCCCCACATTTCCCCGTTCTCAGGAACCCTGGGGCCTTCAGGGCTGGGAAGCCCCTTGCAAGGCCACGCAAAAAGCAACGAATTAGTACCTTCCACAGCAGGGCGCGGCAAGACGTCGGCGTGATGAGCGAAAGCTCTAGTATATAATGCACGAACGTGAAGGAGTCGCGCGCAGCAGAACAGGGAAGGCAGAGTGGGCAAACTTGGCATCCGCAAGCAAGAGCCTTGTCAGCAGGCCAAATAGCATCGCAAGAACATGCGCGTATCCAGCCCCTCTGGGCTGGAGTAAACTTCATACTGCTGCAGGCAGTTTTGGGGATATCCAGACACGCTCTGCAGTCTAGGTCCCGCTTGTCCCCAAGGGCACGGTCGAGCCCCCGAGAGTGCGTTTCTTTGCACAAAGTTCCCAAACGCTTAGGGTGATCAAACCAAGCTGCAGACGATAACCTCGGCCATCTGAAATCGCAACATAATCTTCCATTCTCCAACCCAACCTAAGCAGAGCAAGACGGAGAGCAGAGACAGCGCCTTTCAGAGTCGGCCAGGTAACTCGAGGCAACGACAAGACATTCCTGAAACCATCTCGGAGCTCTCTATGGGGGATGGACCAAGGGTACTCGTGAGTTTGGGCCAACCACACCTCCTTGCTCCATCGCAACAGAGGGGCGCAAGCGGCTCGCCAGCACGGGTCGTCCGACAGGATGCTAACAGCCGCGAGAGACATACTCTTAGCGAAGGGCCTGACCGTCGAGAAGGCTTGTCGCCGCATCGTCTGCAGGACCCGACCGCTCACCCCCAATATGTCCGCCCCATAGGCCCCTTCCAGGGATGGGGGCCCGAGGCAAACGCTCTGAGAGCTTCGCGGCCAAGGTTACCTGACTGACGCTTGATGCGTCGGGCCTTCCTACAAAGAAGCGCCACTCTGCTCTTGAGCTTAGAACAACGCCCTGGCGCTCTGACAGACGCGCCAGCACAAAAGTCAACGCCGAAGTTGACAGTCGAGGCCGGAATCTTGCCTCCGAGTTGACCTAGGGCATCCGACACAGCGCTGGCAAGACCCTTAGACGACGCAGCGGTGCAAATCTTGTCGAAAGCAAGTTGGCAATTCATTTCCTTCTCATCAGCGATGGCGCGATGGAGAGCCGAGGAAACAGCAACAATGGAAGAAACAACATGCTTTCGGGCCCGAGTGCACGAGATGCCTGTGTCGTCAATCAATATGTCAAATTCCTGGGATGGGTAAGCGGGGAGCTTATCCAGAGAGAACATACAGTATATGCGGATGTGCGTAGTGGCCATGCTGCGTCCAGCAATAACTCCTTTCTGAACAAAAAATGGCCCATCCAGCAGACCAGCTAAAGAAACGAAGCGTGCGCACCTGTACGCGTAGAGCGAGAGACGGGTCAGCACTAACGGAAACTGGCGCTGATGGCAACGCTGCTCAAGCACATCAAGATCGATCGTTTCGTAATATTTGAGCATACCATAAAACACACTAACGCTCTCTTCCCCCTTACAGGTACCCGTTTCAGCACGGAAAGCCTGGCGCCAGACCACGTCCGCAGCTGCGCGAAACGCCCCAGCAGCCCAGTGCCGACGGGGGTGTTGCTGCTCCCGGTGCAAGGCCTGGGGGCGCCGCAGGCGCCCCCAGACCCTATGCCAGGAGCAGAGCGCCCCATGTCGGCCTGTAGCCGCCACTGGGTTTCGAGAGCAAAGCAAGCAGCACGGCAGAGATCTGGCGGGGAAGCTGGCCAACCGACTCCATCAGCTGAAAAAAAAAAGCATGCCGAACGCAACCGAACCATCATCGCACAAAAGGTGGAAGTGACGGCAGTCGAAACCGTCGTAAGTGACCGCCGAGGTTCCCTTGTACTTCTCACTGGCCGACCTAGGCTGGGCAGCGTCAGCGCGAGGAAGAGCTTCCACCAAGGTGCAACTGGAGGGATTGCCCAAACCTTCCTTCCAGAAGCTGGCGAACTTGGCGCCTTCACTGGCCAGGAGAGAGAGGGGGTCGGCAACGACCGATCCGTCTCGAGCAAGAGTAGTGGTAGGAACCCAAGGGGTGGGGCCCCGAGCAACGGCATGCACCCTGCGAGCTCCTTGATCGAGGCCCTCCGCGAGCCAAGCTCTCCAATCCTCCTGGGCACGAGACCTGAACTCACCGTTGGCCCCCTCCAGGACCGCGACAAGGGCGCCGAGAAGCTGTTCACCACTATCAATTTTATCAGGGGGGGGGGGGGGGGCTGGCGGAAATCTCCTTGCAGCGCGAGCATATAATCTCTGACACTACTAGAAGAAGAAGCATACTTATCCGAATGGCTGGCAATGGAGGAAGGAGGGCTGTCAAGCAAAGCGCGCAAGCTGGCGGCCTGGCCACAGAAACCTTGGTCGGCCCGCTGCAGCTCCAAGAAAGCTCTAAACTGAGCCACCAGCCACTGGATGGCCCGATGCTCGGGATACCTAGGTTGAGCGCCCCGCCCCACTAAGCTTCTCCAAACTATCTGAGGGCCCTTGCTCCAGCAACCCATCTCCACCAGGTCGGCACCCAGCGCGTGGACCAACTCCTCCTCCGCCTCATCTGCCCATTCACCGTAGGCAGGGGGGAGATGACTGAGGGCAGGTGCAGCGTCGCCAGCGGCGACAGCGTCGAGGCCAGCTCGGGCACGCAAAATGACTTGGCCCCAGCATGGCGGAGGAAGCGTCGGACCGATGACTCGACACCGCGGCCAGGGGGGGGGGCCCTGAAGCTGAGAGCTTTGAGAACAGCGGGGGACTTGTGGAAAACC